AAGAGATAAAATGATAAGAACCTAAGATAGCATCAAGACTGGAGAAACTGCATTTTTAAAGTTTGAAGAAACTAAGCATTATCTCAGACTGGCTTCATTAAACTTTCCCTCTAATTCAGATTCAATCATAAACTAGATGTATGAACTTGGGCAAGTCACTTAATGTCTCTGACCCTTAGTTTTAACACCTACAGTGGTGGTGATAATGTCTCTCCTGTATATATTTAAGAAAATCAAAAGGCTTAGTTATAAATATAAAAATATCTTACAGTCTGTAAAATAGAATATAAATGAAATATTTATAAAAATCTAAGAATTAAGTGATGGGAAAATAGCAAAAATATACTGATAGTATATTATCTTATAAATCATTAATTATATTATCTTACAGATTATTATTTGTGATAAAACAGAAGGGGGAAAACTAGTCTTTCTGAAGTAAACATAGGAAATATGATACTCCTCCCAACAGTGAATCAATACACATTTACTCATTGTTTTTCAAACCTATACTGGTTGTTCTTTTACACTTTATCCCCATATGTCAACAAGGTACCCCCAAAATGATACTCAATACTATTACTTTTATCTGGACAGATCAAAAAATAATTCATTTACTTAACTGGTTCTAAGCTATCATTTGCATGCTCCTTCATGTATCTAGGGCACTTTGATCTTCCTGAATAGAATGTTTACTAGATTGTCAGTTTCTGTGTGTATATGTTCACATCAACTTCCACTATGATTATATTTACAATCCTGTGTTAACTACAAGTAACAAATCTCTCATAAACTTGAATTATTTCAACAATTCTTTTTTTTCCTCTTGTAAGTAATCTTGGTTTATGTCTATAGCTATTTAGTTTTGTATTGCCAATATTCTAAAATAAAGACTACTTTTTCACTTTTTTAACTAAGACTATATACAATTTAAGCTTATGAAACTATCTTGCTTGGTTTTATAATTAAAAGAAAAATCAGAAGGAAAAATAGAGATAATAAGATAATGCAACCTGTTTTAAGTATTTCCCTCTTCCTTTCTTTAGTCCCCTCAATTCTCACTCTGAATGATCTAGATATATTTCAGTGATCATCAGAAACACAGCACAGATCCTTGAGTATCAAGCCCAATGCTAAAGTTACAAAATAGATGGAGATAACTTAAACCTTGCCTTCCAAGCATTGGCAGACTATAGAGATCACCTGTCAAACACAATTCTAGTGTGCTAGAAGCAGTTACAAATACAGCACAAATACCAAAACTAATAAATACCAAAATATAAGCATGTACTCAAAATTATGGAAGCATAAAGGGAAAAATTAAAAAGTACTACCTGTATAGCTAAAGATGGTACCAAAAAAGGGGGGAGAGAGAGAAACTAGCTAGAAAAAATTTTTCAAAACCTCAAAGACATTTTTAGGATATCAAGTGTACAGTAAATGACTTATTGTCCTTTGCTGAACTGCATTTTAACCAGAATTATACTGGACAAAAGTTTAGTTTGAAAAGTAATACACCTTCAGAACATCCTTAAAACTTTCCCTCATTACCTCAACACACAAATGTCTCTACCTACTACTTATCCTGCCTTCTTTCTCAACTAGTCTTGCTTTCTTATTTGGCACTCATTAAAACAAATCTATAGCTCTCTACAACTACCTATCCATGTGTATATATGACATAAATATATATACATCCACATTTTGAGGAGCCTATAAAAGATATGGGAATGATTATATGCCACCTACTTTCCAGACTCTCTATGAATATTTTCCTTCCAACCCCCACTGACTTTCGGAGTAGATGCTCAATGAATATTTGATTAAAAAAAACCTCTGGTGACATGAGAATTACATATTACACTAATAAGCATCTCATAAAAGCTATATTAAAAACAGTTCTTCAGCATTACAACACATGATATGGGAGAATGATTAAAAGCAAACAATTTTTCAGTCTTACAACTAAAAGAAGTGATGGAGTATAATGAATAACAGGAATGGTACTGGAGACAACCAGCTGAATTCTAATCTAGGTCTATGATATAATTAGCCACGTAATCTTAGGCACAGTTTATATACCCTCTCAGTGTCTCAATTTCTCAATTATAAAAGTGACATAAAATATTACCTATCTCCTAACTCACTGTGAGAGTAAACAGGTTAGTATAGTGAGTATACCAGGACTTACTTAGCACATGAGAAACACTAGACTTGAGTCAACAGTGTAGCAGTAGTGGTGTCACTATCATCAGAATCCTTGGGTATTTTAAAATTAGAAATAAAAATAACAACACCTTTCATTCATTGCCTCCTTATAGATACAAAGCTCTTTTTCCACAGGTGCAGACCAGTAACATAAGGAACTAAAAGTTCCACTTTGAGCACATAATTTTTCATCTTGGTTTTGCCATCAGCCAGTGATATGAACAATGACAACTAAATAACTATAGGCAAGTTATTTCAACACTCTGCACTTTAATTTCCTAATTTGCAAAATTTAATAAACCACCTATATCCCAGGAATGTCCTGAGAACTAAATATCAAACACATGCTCAGCATTCTGCCAAGCTAATGTCTGTTCCTTCTTTCTCACATTTCACAAGGGATATCCCAATAAATCCTCACACCACCATTATGAAGTTCATATTAGACAGTAAACATTAAAAACTGCCAAACACTGGCAATTTCATGTTTCAACCTGGCACTATTACAAATGGAGACAATAACCTCAAGAGAGATTGAATGATTTACTAAACATTATATGCTTAGTGATGGTTAAATAATTTTTCATTAGGCCAACCTCACTAATTTTTTCAGAGAGAGACACTGACAAAGGGAGAAAATGTATACTAACCACTATAATACATGTAAAGCTAACATAACCCACAAATTTTTGTTCTACCATATTAAAAATGAGGAATGAACTATTTCTAAAATCTTTTCAATTACAAAATTATTTGTATTTGAAAAGCATCTATGTGTGTGTTGGAGGTAACAGATTTAGAGAAAATCAGCAGTAAGGTTTATTAAAGGAAGTATGTGTGTAACTACACTAATTCAAAGGGTGCAATTGGATCTAATTAGAAACCTCACTAATTAGAAACTCCATGAAGCAAATGAACATCAAATAACCATCTTGATGGAAGGTTAGATGTATTCAGTACATCACAGAGCAGGTGGTTAATGAAACACCCAAGGAAGAGTTATATCAAACACTTTGGTTCACAAGAGTATGTATTCACTAATACATAACATTATTGTACTAGAAAAATGTAAAAAAGTCCTCTAATAGTAAGAAATACACTACTGTAGTAAAATTATGTAACTGTTGACTTTATTTCTATAAATTCTACAAAGGTTTTAGAATTAGATCAAATAAACCAGATTTGGAATGCAATTTCTGTCCAAACATGAAAAGTCCTATAAAAATGCACAGTATTAGTAAATAAATAACAAATGTTAATAGAACAAGGCCCCATAAAACTGGTGAAATATTTAACAGTATCAAATATTTACTCTAATTATCTACAAATCTATTCTGCATCTTTTCTCCTTGATTTGTCATTCACCATTTTAAAAAGAAACTGCATCAGTAAAACAAGGATAACTAGCAGAAACTAGGTCTTTCAACAGATTTACAATGGTACAGTTTTGTTTAAATCCTCTTATCGGTCTCTCCTCCAATTATGCAATCATTTCACAGCAAAAGATTACATAGCTCTTTCCACACACTGGAAGGAAGGAGGTTGGGGAAAATAGTGGAGTGTTTAACAGGTAGTCCGGAAACAGGCAACATTTCCGTGATACTAAATTGTCTTTCGGGAATCGATATTAACTCAGCGCCTCTTGGTTTTCAAGACCTTATCCTTTTGCCATTACAGATACTGTTTTAATCCCCGTAACAACTGGAAACTCTTCACTTGCTGCAAAGTCCATCTAGCAACATCACCTCTCCTCCCACTAAACTGGCTCTTCCGCGGGCAGTGGGGGCGAGCTGTCAAAACTAGGAGGGCAGTGTCCTCACAACTACATCTGGGCAGCTCGTCTCAATTCCCCAGAAAAGTGAGGCTGAGCTGAGCTGCCTGCTAAGGCGGGACTCAAGGCGCTCGCGCTTTCCCACCGGGTTTCGTCGAAACCTCCCGAGGGTGACCTCTACGCCGCGACACCGTGCCTCGCAAGTCTTTTACTAAGACGGGGGCACGGGAGAACCCTCGCTGCACAACCACTGCTTCATTCCACACCAGCTGCCGCGCGGCGTCCCGTGATGCGACCCGCTTCCGACTAGTTCGGGAACTGTCTTTTCACCAGCTCCGCGACAGCAAGAAGGGCTGCTCCCGCCCGCCGACAGGTAACTAGGTTCCGGGCTCTCAGCCTCTGGTGCTCGGGACCGCGCAGTTAATGAGTAATGCGCCCGAGTCTAGGAGCAGGGGAGAGCCGCACCCCGACGTCCAGCCGCGGCTCAGGGGGAGGCCGGCCGACCAAGCCCCCAACCCCGCTGCTGGGGTGGGGGGTGGGGGGGGTCCTACGGCCCTCGTGCCCAGGCGAGGAGGCGCTCGCCCGGCCAGGGCAGCAGGGCCGTGTACCCGCGTGCCGCGCCCTCCGCCGCGCCGGGACCTGCACCTGCAGCGGTCGCCCCTCCCGGCCGGCTCGCGGGAGGAGGTGCGCGGGCGCCGAGGGGGGCGGTGCTCCACGCCCCGGGCCTCTCCCTCCCGCGGCCGCACTCACCTGACGAACCCACGGCGGCCGCTGCCCGCGCTGAGGGGCGTTCGCAGAGCTGCAGGGAGCGCACCGAGAGGCAACAAGAAGCCGAGAGGGAAGGCGGGCCAACGCCGCTACACCCCAAGGCGGCGGGCGCTCTGCGTTGGGTGCCGCCGAGGGAGCGCGGGACTGCGCCTGCGCCGGGAGCGGGCCCGGGAGCCGGGAGCAGCCGGTCCCCCGGGAAGGAAGGCGGGGCTGGGGCGGGGAGGGGCGGAGCGTGGGGCCTCGGGGGCGACGCGCTTCCGCGCCCCCTGGCGCCAGGCGCGCTCGTCGCAGTTTCCCCGGCACTGGCCCAGGTGCCTCCGCGGGCGGTTTCCCTGGGAACGACCGCCGGATACCCTGCGGGACGTTTCCCGAAGGAAGAGGCGACCTCTGGGTAACTTCCAGCGTGTTGGGCTCGCTAGGAGTCGGAAGAAGCACCTTCACTGTGAGTTGAGTACTGCTGCAATCAACCTGAGGCTTGGCTCCCATACACACCTTATAACGGGCGTGGGGGGAGGGAATCCTGACAGAACCCAGAACCCACATCGCCTCGTTCCAGCCCCTGCCAGAGTATTCGAGAATGTCGTTTCTGTGCCAGCCTTCTCTCTCTTGTGTGAACTGCTTTATTAAACTTCCACCCTACTTTAAGAACTCCAAGTGGGAAAAGTGAAAATACAGACAAGAACCAAGCTTTTAAAAGTGTGACAAAAGAGAGTCACCATCTGGTCTCTATGTGTAAAGAAATACATACAATCCATTGATCCATATTGAACAGGACCATCATTCTGTGTATTGGTCACATTTTGGAGTAAGAAAAGGAGGTTATGTATATGGCTGTTAGAATCAGAATTTCTCGCTTTGAATCTACTACCATCACTGTCCCTCTGTGATGTTGGGCAAATTAATCTCTTAATAGCCCCAATTTTCTCACTAATAAATGAGTATAATAAGAATACCTACATCACTGGATTGCTGAGTTTAAATGATATGAAATATATGCATGTGAAACATTCAGTGTACTACACAAAGTGCTGCATGTTAGCTATTATTATTAATGACGTTACTATTATCCAATAAAGACCTAGGAAGTCATTTTATACTCCAGTCAAGTATATTTTTACCCCATCTGCAGTATATTACTGAAACACTGAATTTGGGGGCCCTCATCTGAAACTGGGAATGGCTGTCTCATGCTGAGAGTGAGGCTGGGGAGGCTAATAATCCCCCACCCTGAAAGGTATCAAAGATGATGGGAGTGCAAATTGTCCTTGGTGCCAATACAGGCTAACTAAACCTACATCTATACATTTCCTGACTTTTATCACTTCCCTGCCTCTTCTCCTTTAAAGTCTCTGCTAATTTTCAGGGATTTCCAAGACAGAACTTTTGAAACAATTAGGTTTTGTCTGTCTTCCTTCAAAGCTGGCTTTGAATAAAATGTATTTTCTTACCAAATTAACTCCAAAAATTTCTGGAGTAGCAAGCAACATGGCCTAGCTTATTTCTTTCCAAGGCAGTATTAGAGTTGCCTAGTAATATTACCAACTCCTATGCATTCTAATGTCCAAATAATTCTTAAATCTCTCTTGTTTCATTCACTGCTTGCTAGATATGACCTTCCTCATTCATGGACTGTTAACTCTTCTCCCATGTATTATATGGTTGGCTGTTCATTCAGCACATATTTATTGCACTCCATTTTTGTGCCTTCTGCTAGGTGTGGGGGCAAAAAATCATTACAAATAGCATCCCCTCCCATCCAAGGACTCAGGAGACAAGTATGTTAATAACAAGTGGAATGAATAAACTCAACATACAACAAACTTCTTGGGTTCCCCAGTCTTGCAATATCCTCATTATGTCACTGTCTTTGCACTTTTTCTTTTCATAAAATTATGTTCTGGTCACTGGCCTTCTCTTTACCTAGATAATTCCTGCTTATCTTTCCAGGCATCAATTCCATTGTGAACCTTTTACTGTTGCTTGCCACTCAGCCCTGTCCCACCAATCCCAATATGGGCTCAGTGCCCCTACCTGTGAGTCTATAACACCTGATCTCTTTTTTTTAACTTGATTAAAAAATTTATTCAAGTTAATGGTAAGCAGCAAAAGTACAAGTCCATGAAAAGTCCCATATGTTACATGTTGAAACCGCTTTTCACTGTCTTTACCTGTAAGGTGTTCAAGGTGGCACTCATTCCTGAATCTTCTTTCTGGTGGTAGAATAAGGTACATACTGTTCTGGAGTGCCACTCATGTTGAACTTCTTGTTTCCAAATGAATTTATGAGCAGTAGGTGGTTTTGTTGTTGGAGGGTCATCAGTCATAAAGTGAAGCCAGTGATGCCAAAAAATTGTTTGTTGTCCTTGTAGTATTTGTTTCCATACTTGTCTTCCCCCACTCATGTACCAACACTCACATCATTTGCTCTGAAGAAAATTCATAAATAGCCACAGAGACCATCATGGCCACTAACCTGCTGCAGCCCACACTTCAGGACCTGCAGCAACTCCATCTCACCCTGCACTTTCCATATAGAATTTTAATAGTAGTTTATTTCTCAGTTTTCCTAACAAGACTGTGAGCTTCTTGAAGACAGGCCCAAGGCCTGACATGGAGTAGTGATGGCCAATAAGTGCAGAGTGAATGAATGACATATATACAGAGTTCACTATCTTGGTTCTACATAAGACCTAAGACATCATGCATGTTATAGTTTAGATATTAGATGTCCCCCAAAAGCTCATGTGAGAGACAATGCAAAAAAGTTTAAATGTTCAATGATTGGGTTATAAAAGCCTTAACCTAATCAGTACATTAATCTTCTGATCCAGCTAGGGATTAACTGGGTGATAACTGAAGGCAGGTAGGGTAGGTAGGGTGTGGCTGGAGGATGTGGGTCATTGGGGGCGTGCCTTTGAGGGATATATTTTGTCCTTGGTAAGGTGATGCCTTTCTTTCCCTTCTCCTTTCTCCCCTCTCCCTCTCCCTCCTGGTGCCATGTCTTGAGCTGATTTTCTACCACACACTTCCACCATAATGTTCTGCCTCACCTGGGCCTCCAGTTGGCTTCTGTGGACTAAGACCTCTGAATCCATGAGCCACAAAATAAACTTTTCCTCCTCAAATTGTTCTTGCCAGGTCTGTTGGTCACAGCAATCTAAAACAATGCATCTACAAGAAACAGTAAGCAATAGCCATATGCCTGAGCCATACATTGGTCTATTTGCAAATCACCTACCATCTATAAGCCTTTTGAAATTTCCTTAGAGGTGTTACCCTTTAGATACTTAAATTGCTAGTGCAGTTTGAGAATGAGAAGAGTAATATGGGTAGTTGCTGTTAATAACAATGCCTCAGCATTGCAACACAGAGACCAAGATACATTACATAATGTTAGACACTCAGAATCTTAACCTGTGAAGTATATTAAGTATTGTGAGTATCCTAAGTTAGGTGGCTTACCCATATTAAGGGACAAATGTAACTTTAAAAAAATAGATTTTGTAATATGCTCATTTGACTTCTTTCCCTTTCATTAAAAAATATACAATTGTAGTAAAATACAATATATAAAATAATATTGATTAATTTTTTATCTTAAGATTTTCCCATTCATACATAAGCCAGAAAATAATGAAGTACAGAGAAATTTTAAATTAAACAAATTATTCTAACATTTTTACCCTAGTTGTAACTTTTGTTTGTTTCAAAATTAAAAATTTTTGTATATTTGCATGGTACTTTGCAGTTTCAAATTGACTTTGCATAAAGTCCTTTACCAAAATAACAATTGGACACAGGTGAAAAGTAGTCATTTACAGGTGAAGAACTTAAAGTTAAGGTCCTGGTCTTTAGAATACAGGTTTGTATCTTATAAACTCAGTTCAAACTCTTTAAAAAGCAGATTGAACTTCCATGACCAGCAGTATGGCACAATAGAGACTCTGGCAGATTCTCCCACCAACAGCAATTCAAAGTACTGAATAAAATGTATAAAACACCTTATCAAACATATCAGTGAGTTGGTAAGAACATAAATGATCCTAAAGGCAAAAACTATGTAAAAGTAGGAATCCAGACAATAAATAATAACAATGTAAAAATGAAAAAAAAAACTGGTTATGGAGGAAAGTGTGTGAACAACAATCATTTCCTTGTCTAGCCCAATAGTTACATGTAGTCTAGGGCTTGTATTCCCATTTTTTAAAAAAAAAAATTGCTTTTGTAACTCCTGTACAAAAGCAGAACTAGGGGCTGGGAATACAACCCAGTGGTAAAGCACATATGTAGCATGGTCAAGGCCCTAGCTCTAATCACTAGTACAAAAAGAAAAAGAAAACAGCATTGTCTCTGCAGTGTCCTTCATTAGATCAATTAGAGACAGCTGGACATTTTAGGCCCCTTTTCTGATGTTAAAATAAATGGAGTAGGGAAAATTTGGAGGCTGACAGAAAGGGTTGAGAAATTAGACTATAAAGAGTTTCTCTTTTAAAAAATCACTTTAACAAACTCCAAACATGTAAGAAAATGTTTTGGGAATTGACTTCAGATCTGGTTTATCACACACACTCAAATTGCCATCCATTAAGCAAATGTTTATTTATTGTTTCTCTGTGCCAGATATATAAATAATCTGCAGTAGGAGGAAGAGAAGAGATGAAACACAATGAGAGCACATCCCAGCTTCTCCAAAGTGTTTCAGTCCCAGGCCTCAATCTATTCTTAATCTTCCTTCATTCCTTCCCACATGTTCAGTGAGAAATCATTATGTCTTTAAAATAACCACCACCACCCCTTTTTTGCTTAATATAGATTTGACTGGATCCCTTACTGATGGATGCTTACTATAGGTGGAGAACCAGCAGTGAAAGAAGGGGGAAATTTTTCAATACTAATTCAAAACAAAAAGAGTGGACTGATCTTGCTTCTTTCATTGGGTGTGTTTGTGATTTAAGCTTTGTAAGAAAGCTTTTCCTGATGTAAGAATAGAAATTATCATGGTTGTCAACATTCTTCATGCCTTGCTCTTAACCATCAGCCATCTGGACATAGACAAAGCAGTGTATGCAGTTTGGGTTTATTTTAATGCAGTCAGAAGGTAGATTATGGAAACTTGTTAATGAGATATTTTAAGGTCAAAGACTTTGGGGAAATAAAGGGCTCTCAGAGGCCCAAGGTACTAATAAGTAGGGGCCCAAGAGATTGGGCTTTCTTCTTATTCTGACAAAACATTTGAAAATACTGAACTACCTACTGAAACTACAGAGGAAAGGAAGGGCTTTTGTTTCAACAGACAAACTTAAATCTCAGATTTAAGCCAGGCATGTGAATTAAAATTACATAGACTTTTGAGGAGTTGCTGTGCTATTTTGGTAGAAATGAAGTCCAAATTTCAGAAGACATGATGAACATGAATCATATGTTAAGTTCCTACAGCTGCTT